GCCTGCTTAACCAGGTATGGAGAACCTTAACTGGAAAATGAAAGGAAGAATGCAGACAATTTGGATTGTAGAGATTGTTGGTAGGAGCTTAGGTTACGTCTTATAATATACGTCTCTTTTCTAAATGCTTAGGCTTCTCAGCATTTCAGGAAAACCTCAAAATAATAGTGTATATAAAAAAGCTTTACTCTCTATAATGGTATAGAAAACCCCTCACAAATTCTCTTTTTGTAGGCCTTACACTCATCATTTACTTTTCTGTAATTTTCATGTAGAAACACCACTGAGTTTTAGACAAAATGTTTGATAAATTTCTTTGATGTGTTTTGCTGATCCAGTATTGCTTGAGTTTGGCTTATGTCAGGCAAGTTTTTTGAGGACAATATTCTAAATGAAAGGGCTTCCAATTAATTCTTATCTTCTGCAGTGGAAAAATCTATTATCACTGCCAGTCCAGGAAATACTGGAAACACAATCTTTATTAGAAATATAAAGTTCTCTGTATAACAACCCCAAACCACTAGCATCCACCCATTATAAGAATTATTTTTGTGGTGTTTGTTTTGTTTAAAATGTCAGCTGTGTCCCAATGTTTAAATGGACTATCAGTTTCAAGAGCTAAGTTCCTGACCTCTGTGTAGTTTTTATAAAATTAGGAACAGTCTTTTACATATCTCTAAAGATCAGATTTGAGTTCAAGAGAGAAGCATGTAATTTGGTGGGCATGGCAGTGGTCTTGGGGGCAGGAAACCTGATTTCTAATCCTTGGATTAGAATTGTTAGGGAATGGTTCTGGTTCCTGTGGCCCACAAAGCAATAAGAAAAATTGTGGGCTGTATATAGTGACATCATATATACTTTGATTCAGAGAGAAGAGGGTTTAAAAGGGAGAAGGAATTTTTAGGTAGAGGAATACATACAGAATTTAGCTTTTCAAAAGTCTGGAGGCACCTGTGGTGACAAAAACTTAGTGTATGATCTCACCATGTTCTAAATATAAATGCCTCCCTTATCCCATATTCCCCATTAGTTTATTATTTGAGGAATTGGTGCCCTTTATTCCTTTCCCTGTTTTTTTCCTTCCAAATTGCAGGTTGAAAAAGCCCAAAGCCCTTGGCTCTAGCAAGCCAATATTGTAATTACTGTCCTGTAATTCCATAGAAATCATAGAATGGCTTGGGTTGGAAGGGACCATAAAGACCATCTAGTTCCAACTCTGTGCCATGGGCAGGGACTCCACCCACTAAACCACGGGCAATTGTTCAGGGCCCCATCCAGCCTTTAACAGTTCCAGGGATGACATATCCACAGCTTCTTTGGGCAACCTATGGGCTCCTTAACATGCATGACATTGACTGGAGATGGAGGATCAAACAAATAATTACCACTCTTCTTAAATACATTTTTTGGTGAACCTGAAACAGCCAAATTAGCAGAATTATTCAAAGCTCTGCAAGGAATTTAGAGGAATAGAGACTGATTTCTTTAAGAATAAAACATTTCAGTTTTATGATTCATAAATTCCAACAGTCTTTTCCCCTGAAGCCTCCCTTCCCTTCTACCAGCTTTATCAAAAAAACCTAAAAACGAGTAGTGACTGGAGAAATAAGAAAAAAAAAAAGGCTAATTTTGCATTTAGATTTTACGATTCCCTCAGAGGCACAATACTAATTTTGTGTCCTGATCTTTGAAATCTTCAATGCAGAGATCAACATGAACGTCCTTCTGCTCTGCAGTTGCTGGACCATCCCTTTGTGAAAGGAAGACAGTGAATTTTTCGAAACTCTTGCCAAGTGAGTATCCATTTTCCATATAAAAGATTTCCACTTGTGAAAAGAGGCCAGAAGGAACTGGACTTTTAAGGGACAGCGGAAATACTGGAGAGCAGTTGTGTACAAGGGGTCTCAGGCCTTTGAATAAACAGGCTCCAGCCTTCTACCACCCTCAAGGTAAAAAGGATTTTATGTTTGAACAGACTGTCTTATAGGTCAAGTTGTGCCTCATGTCTCTTGTCTTGTCACTGGTAACATTGAAGGGTCTGGCTTTGTGTTCCTTCCTGTCCTCATGGGGTATTGATACACATTGGAAACTTGAACTGTTTCTCAAAACACTTGAAGTGACCACTTTATAATTAGATGACATGTAACAGTCTCCATCTGCAATGCAAAAGTAATTGTAACAATTAGTAGAAGTAGCTACTACTAACTGCACAGAATTAAATAATATTAAAAAGTATAGTTATATAGTAATAAACCAAAGTAAAAAAGCAGGTATTAGTATTTAAAATGTCCTGTTTCTGGTAAGATTTCTTCCAATCAAAATGGGGTAAAATTTTAGCCTTTGTGAGCACCCAGGCTCCAGGAAGAGATGCAGTAAAACTCAGCCCTACAACTGTTCACAGCTGAGCTCTCAAGGATTCAAGGCACTGACTTCAGTGCCAGCAATAACGTGAAAATTAGTGTTTTACAAAAGGGAAAGAAGGAAGTTCTAACTTCCTCAGAGTGCTAAACACTTTAGTTTCACAAATAGCTTTCAAGCTTTGCTTAATGCCAGTCACCTGATTTCAGAGAGTTGGTCTAAACTTTATAAAAGCAAAGAGAAAGCAGTACTTCTAGCAAAATCCTTTATTGATAGTTTCTGTAGGTATAATGTCACATAACAATGACAGAACATAATGCCAGTATAAGAGAAATCCCAACATCACAGTAATCTTCCAAGTTCAAGCAGTTAACAGTCCCATTTTGAGGAATACAGGTTGGTGCTCATGCCAGGAATCCATGGCAACGTCACGTTAAAGGATCTTCACATTTAAGTACTTTGCAGAGTAAAGGTGGGAGCCCTGGCATAGGAACTCAGGTGGGATGTACATAATTCCATGATGTGCATTAATTCTTCTCAGATTAATGTAGTGTCTCCAGCAAAGCTGCAAAGTAAATGTGAGGTTTTATTTAGCATGAAATGAAGCTGAGATGACACATATAAGTGGGGAAGAATGGGAATGCTCTAGAATATATAGTTAATTAATAAAATGTCAGCATTATAAATCCCCTTCCTTATGCACATGACTTATAAGCAAAACTAATGTCTCTTGTTAGCGCTCTCCAATATTAAGGTTATTAGTTATTTGTAATTTAAGTGTCATGTTTAATCCAGCTAATTACACTAAAATTAGTTTGGAACTTAGAGGTATGTAAAACTTGAACCCGAGCCTTTAATCAAAATGTGAAAGCACATTTTTGCTTTTGCTTAACCAGATGTTGAGAAGGAGGTGGCACTTTAAGGCCAGCACTTGCAACAAAGTATTTCAGCCTAATCTGCTGGAGATGGTGGGGATGTGCCTGCAGCCCAGCCCAGGGCACAGCACAGCTAAACCAAGCAGGACATTGGGCTGGGGAGTCTTGGGTCACTCGGCTGAGCCAGTCTAGTGGGACATTCTAGAAACAAGTCTAACTTTGCTATTTCTTACTCGAGATCACAGATTTTCACATCCAAATCCAGCTGCCTAATTAAGGTGTCTAAGGTAGTCAAGAGAAAGGGTGCAAAACCTTGAAAACTGTATATTCCATGAGAAGTGACTCAGGGAGGAGGGTGACACTTGCTTAATTATAGTACTCAAGCAGGGCAAGTCTTACTGGTTTAAATCTGGAACCAATAAGAGCCCATTACAACTCATGCCAGGCTGCCAAGCACTGGGGGGGGTGCTTTGCTGTGACTCCAGGTTTCCTATAGATTTGGGGCTTAAATCAGAGAGCCTGAAAACACACTCTTCTTGTATCATTGCAGGGTACTTGCTAATCCTTTCACATAGTAATGTTTGAAGCTCTGAGCCACTGCTCACATCTCAGGAGAAGGGAAGGTCCTTAGGAATGCCAACCACCTATTTTACACTGGTCTTGGAACTACCAACAGCAATAGGATGTAAAAATTTGCATCTAAAAATACGTCTACTTCTCTTTCCAAGGAAGCAGACACTGAGCCTAGAAAACCCACAGTCTCTTGAGATTATTTGGGTTCAAAATCAGTGCTTTTTCACAGAGCTAAGCAGGAACTGATGCCATTTCTCCACCCCTCCTGTGAAATCTCCAGTTCTTGCACAAAAGCAAAAGAGAACAAGAGTTCTCCTGAGGAAGGGCCTCCAGTACACACAGTCCAGTGCCTTTTCTCCCCTTCTTTTCCCTTCTCCCAGGGACCTGCACCATAGGACAGCCTCAGAAATTTTACAGATGTTGTCAAAGAACACAATCTCTGAACTATGGCAAGGAAAATGTTGCCATTATAGGTGCAGGAATGCAGAGGAATCAAACTCAGCTACTGAAAGATCTAAGGTTAAAAATTGGATTTGGGTTTGCTATATCCATGTCAGGAGCCAGAGAAAGTAATTCCCAGCAGCAACTGGAGAGAACACTCCTGGCACTAGTGATCTACTTTTTTAAAGGTGTAAGAAGTTAGGCATTGCAGAGGAAGGAGGAATTAATTAGCTAGTTCAGTTTGGCATAACTTCCAAGTCTTTGAAGACATTTATTTTTAGAACTGATTATGGGAATGTGCATTTACATCCCAACTAAAGAAAGCAAAGTGTTTGTCCAATTCCCTTCCCTGCAAAACAAGGATTGGGAACCCTTCCCCCCCTTAGGGTCAGAGAGATGCTTGGTGTACAACAGTCACCCACCCCCTCACTGCTAAAAAGAAAAATAATAACCCTCCCCTGAAGCCTGGCCAGCCCCTACACAACTCCAGGGTACAAGCTCTGGCCCCCAGGGCACAGGGAGGAAGCAGCTGGAGATGGCATAACAGTTCTAGAACTTGCTTTTCAGGTACCAAATACCTGATCACCACAATGGAATGGGAGCAAAGGAAACAAATGAGACTTCAGACTTTCAAGCAGTCTGTTATTTGACTGATTTGATGAAAACCAGCAATGTTTAGCCAATAACTGAAAGAGGACCTTTGTGTTTCCAACTTTGTAAAAATTCAACATAGGAAAATGGGATCATTTCTGCACAATAGAGGTGAGGTAGGGAATTTTATTGAAAATACTTTTTTTTTTTTACAAGTTCTTAGAAATAAAGTTTTTTCTAATCTCACACAAATGGCTGTACCTCAAAAATGCAACTAAGCTATTATGAAACATTTATATTTACAATTAGCCAGAAGAATGTACAGAACTGCCATGTTATGCAAATAGCCAAGACCCAGCTCACAGTGAGATACATTAGCCCAGCACTCCCACCATCAGGAACAGACCAAGATTCAACATACGAAAGAATTTCACTATTCTACAAACCTCAGATCTCACAAACAGGGAGGATTTTTAATAGTGTTGTACCAAGGTCTCCACTACAGTGTCATTTTACAAATTATATAATTCTTGTACTCAAATTTATAACAAAAAAGCTGTAATAAGTGATGAACAAAGGAACAGTGTTGACTTTGAGCCTTTTATTGCATTTATTCAGTCATTCCCGTGTGAGGCCAATGCCGATCCCGTCAGTTTTCATTCCTTCCCACCCCTCAGCCAGGCTGCCATTCACACCAGTCACTAATTTCAGTCAGGGCAAACTAGTGGCACCTGGCTGCATCTCCTCTCCCTCCCTCTCAGCCCCAGGGATCACCACTGATTTCAGTGGTGGAATTCAGTTCCAAACACAATGACACGTACAGTTTCACCTATTTACAATGACATTGAAAAACAAACCCCATGAGTTTTATGGACATCCTTTACAGAGAAACCAAAACCCACTGTTTGGATCTCAATGTAGCATAGCAACATTTTGTCCACTATTATTTCACAATTTCCCAGAATCAAAACAGGAAATAATTCTTTTGAAACAGCACCTTAGGAGGAAGGCCTATGCTCATTCCAATGTATATTAGACAGGCACTAGTTACCATCCAGACACTTTAACTCCAGGTTGTGACAGAAACTGCTATATATACAGTACAATATATTGCTTATCCAGAGTGGCTGTATAAGATGCATTTCAGGGCACACCTATTTAAACAGACTCAAAAAGAAAGTACTGTAGTGCTTCAAAGACAAATTAAGACAGTTTCCTGCTATGTCATCTCTCTGCCCAGGCTCTGGTTTAGGACAGTATATAATGCAGATTACATTGGTTACAAATCAGACCCAAGAGTAGCACTGAGATGGAAAGGAAAGGGACTATAAAAGGATAGAAAATATCCAACAATGCAGAAGTTTGTAACAAGAAGTTACATTCCCAATGTAGAAAAATAACCAAGTCAGTAGGGATAAGACAGCTTTGGATTTTGTACACGAGCCTTGACTTAAGATAAGATATAGCAGAAAATGCAATCAGGTTTCCATTTAAATATTCCTTAAAGTGTAAAAAAAGTATCCATAGTTCAAATAAAACTTATTCAAGTAATTACAAGCGTTTGCATTACTGGAAACAGAGTATTACATAGTAATTGATATACCTGTAGTTACATCATACAGCAACTACCAACCGGGCTGAGATTGAACAGTTTTATCATGTAAAGCACAGGTGAGTAAAGAACTGGAAGGGCAAAGCTGCAGATGTTCCTTGGGGACTTACAGAGTTAAAGGAGCACTGAGGGAATGAGGCGGCTTAGCAAAAGTTCACATCATGGTCACTTCCAAGTCAAAAGAAGTCATGGAAAACTGGCTGTTGCTACTAGAAATCTACTGAGTTCATGTTGAGGTACTTCATAGCTTATGAAAAGTTTGAGTAACAACCCAGAAAGTCAGTTCTCTGCTCTCCAGGCGGCTGAGCTGCAGTACTGGCTTGGAGAACACAAGGACATTCACACCCGTCATTCCTCCTGCAGGCAAAGCCCCTGGGAAGAGCAGCCGAGCCCTGACACTTGCAGGCAGATTAAATGGATGCCAGTGGTTTAACTGGGACACTGAGGGGTTTTCTAACCCCCCCAGAGCTGAAAAAACCAGAACAAGCCTC